CTTAGTGAAAATGTCAGCGACTTGATCGATGGCAGGAATGTGATGCACCGAAATAATGTGATGATGTACCTGTTCTCTGATGAAATGGAGATCTATTTCTGCATGTTTAGTTTTAGAGTGATGAATGGGATTGGTAGAAAGTAAAACCGAGCCAAGATTATCAACCCAAACAGTAGTGGGTTGAAGCTGTGGAACATGTAATTCATGAAGAAGATTTCTTAACCACATAATGTCACAGGTAGCTCCTACTAGGCTTCTGCACTCTGCTTCAGTGCAATAGATTTTTGTTTTTTGCTGCTCCAAGCAACCAGGTTACAACCAAGAAAGATGCAAAAGCCTGAAGTTGACCTCCTGTCATCGATATCTGTGGCCCAATCCGAGTCAGCATAGGCCATAAGTTGTAATGATGGTGATTTAGAGATGTGAAGCCCAAGGTGAAGAGTACCACTAAGATACCTGAGTAGTCTTTTCAAAGCCTTCCAATGAGTATCAAGAGGATTTTGCATATATTGACTGCATTTGTTAACAGTGAAGGTTATCTCTGGCCGAGTGATGGTAGCATACTGAAGTGCCCCAATGAGTTGTCTATACAAGGTGCCATTCTCAATAGGTTGCCCCTGGTGTTTGGAGAGACATGGTGTGGAAACCATTGGAGTGCTGAGAGGTTTACAGTTGGTCATGCCAGCTTTCTTCAAGATGCTTTTGATGTAAGAAGACTGGTTAAGAAACAAGCCTTGAGCTGTATGTTCCACTTCTAAACCTAAGAAGTAATTTAAAGGTCCTAAATCCTTAAGAGCAAAATGATTTCTGAGAGCTGTGATGATGTGATCAATTTGAGTATTATCACTGCCAACAATGATCATATCATCCACATATGCCAATATGAAGATGCTGAAAGCTTTCTCAATTTTGAGAAACAATGAAGTGTCTGATTTGGAAGTCTTAAAACCAAGAGAACATAAGATACCTCCAAGTTTAAGATACCATGATCTTGAAGCCTGCCTTAAGCCATACAAGGACTTCTTCAGTAGACAAACTGAATTGTCATTATGTTCATAACCAGGAGGTTGAACCATGTAAATGGTTGTGTCTAAATCACCATTCAAGAAGGCATTATCCACATCTATTTGTCTAGTAAACCAGCATTTAGATATAGCTATGGATAGAACTGTCCTTATTGTAATGGGTTTAACAACATGACTGAAGGTTTCAGTAAAATCCATACCAGGTATTTGGCTAAAGCCCTTGGCCACAAGTCTTGCTTTATGCTTGGCTACAGTTCCATCAGAGTGTTTCTTGAGTTTGAAAACCCACCTGCAACCAATGGCCTTCTTACCAGGGGGTAATTCAGTGAGAGTCCATGTGTTGTTATGAAGTAAGGCATTATATTCAGTGTCCATTGCCTTTTTCCACTGAGGAGAGGTAAGAGCTTCTTCAAGACTGCTTGGTTCAACATTATCATCTGCAGTTTTGGTTGAAAGATATACCTTCTTTTTGTAGATACCAGCTCTACCTCTGGTGATCATGGGATGAGTGTTTGCTGCATGGACAGTGTTAGTAGCAATATCATTGGGAACAGAAGCATTTCTATCACAATCTATTGGCAAATCAATGTAAATCTGTCCGATAGGTATTCTTGGTGATTGATTGGTGGGAGTGGCAGTATGATGTGAATTTTTACTGGTGGAAGTAGATGTGGCTGCATGATGAGGATGTGTACTGGGGGAAGGAGGTGTGGCAGTATGATGAGAATGTGAATTGTTTGAAGAAGGAGGGGATGGTGGCCTATGTGTGACAGGAGAAATGGGGTTTGGGGAAGGATAATGGGGTGAAGATATGATAAGAGGTGCTAAACTTTGATTTAAATGAGAGTAGGTTGATGCTGGGATATGAGAATCCTTGTTTTTGAATGGAAAGAACAGTTCATCAAACACCACATGCCTTGAAATAATAATTTTTCCATTAGGTAACAAGATCTTGTACCCTTTATATTGGTCATGGTATCCAATGAAAACACTCTGCTGACTTTTAAAATCAAGTTTATGCTTGTTATATGGTTTTAAGTAGGGGTAACAAGCACATCCAAAGACCCTCATGAGGTTGTAGTCTGGTTTATGGCCTGTTATGGCTTCAAATGGAGACTTGAACTTCAGTGTTTTGGTGGGAACTCTATTCAATAGATACACTGCTGTGGAAAAAGCATGGTCCCAATATTTTTTAGGCAATGAGGAGTGAGCTAAAATAGAAAGACCTGAACTCACTATATGCCTATGTTTTCTTTCTGCTGCTCCATTTTGTTCAGGTGTGTAAGGGCAAGACATTCTATGAGTGATTCCATTCTGATGAAAGAAATCAGACAAAGGTTTATACTCAGTTCCACCATCACTTTGCACTATCTTGATTTTCTTTGAAAATTTGTTTTCAACAAGAGTTTTGAAGTGAATAAAGGCTGTTGAGGCATATGATTTGTTTTTTAGGAAATAAATCCAAGTGAACTTGGTTTTGTGATCAATAAAATTAATATAATACAAGTGACCACTAGCTGACTTAATTGGACAAGGTCCCCAGAGATCAGTGTAAACAAGTTCAAGAACATCATAACAGTCTGTCATAGAAGGATCAAAAGGTAGCTTGTGATTTCCCCATAAAACAAGATGAACACAAAGGTCTGCTTGAAACATCATTAAAGTCAATATTACAACCCTTAAGAGCCTTTTTTACAATTTCAATGGATGAATGTCCTAATCTATTGTGCCAAAGGTCAAGGCTGAACTTATTCTTGATGCAAGCTGAATGAGTCTTGGGTTTGAATTTTCTGGAATGAGGTTGAGGATGAAGTTGGCTTCCTTTAGCTTGAGCCAGATCAAAGGTGTAAAGGCCATTAGTAAGGCTGCCTTTGAGAAGGATCTCCCCTGAGGCTTGGTCCTTAAGAAAACAAAAGAAAGGGTGGAATTCAAAGTACACTCCATTGTCTCTAGCAAACTGTGAGACACTTAAGATATTTTTGGTAATGTGAGGTACACAAAGTAGGTTATTGAGGGCAAAGGTGTGTTTACTATTAGAAACAAATTTTACAATTGAAGAGCCAATATGAGTGATAGGCATACCTGTACCATCTCCCATCTCAATCTTATCTTCACCATGATATTCAGTTGCAACATTAAGATTTGCCAAATCTGAGGTTATGTGGTTGGTGGCTCCTGAATCAAGGAGCCATTGTGAATCTTCAAAGTTTTGGCCAGCCACTGAGCCTGTAAAGTTGCTGCCTCCATATGAGCTTAGATTTGCCACATTAGCCATATTTTGATAAGACTGCTGTCCTCTAAAGTTGTTGCCTTGAGTGTGAGAATAGGACTGATCAAACCGGCTATAGCATCTGTCTGCAGTATGCCCATCTTTTTGACATATTTGGCATTTCACATAGCTCATTCTTCCACCTCTCCCTCTGTAGTTATTGCCACTACCAGATCTGGCTCCTCTGAAATTACCTATTCCTTGATTGAACCTGCCTCTTGAACTTTGACTAGGAGTAAATCCTCCTCTTCTTGGGTTTTGTTGAGAAGCCATGTTGGCAAATCCTCTGAAGCCATAACCATTGATAGTATTGGTGGTGTTCCTTGTTCCTTTCTATTCTGCTTTCAAAAGTTAGCAACAAGGATTGTGCTTCTCTTAGAGTGCAAGGTGGTATCCTTGAGTTGACTGAAACAAAAACTGAGTCATACTCAGGCCCAAGTCCATCAAGCATTGAGGCTATGTGGTCTTCTTCTGAATAAGTGTGACCTGCTGCTCCAAGAGCATCATAGCAAGATTTAATTTTGTTCAAGTACTCTCTCATGGTTTGAGTTCCTTTCCTTAGGTTGTGCAGTTGAGATTTAATCTGCATCACTTTTGCTCTTGACTGAGTGGTGAAGTCTAACTCCAATGAGTACCAAATTTCAGATGAGGTATTCAGCCCAATAGTATTTATCAAGATCTCTTCAGTAAGAGAGCTAAGGACCCAGGAGACCAATAGTTGATCTTGCTTTTGCCAACTGATATAAAGAGGGTTGATAGACTGGTTACCATTTTCATCAGTGGTGAACTTTTCAGGTGGTATGGAAGTGCCCAGAATGAAGCCTTCAAGACCATATCCTCTTGTTGTGGCCAGGACCTGATGTTTCCACATCAAATAGTTGCTGTCATTTAACTTTATGGTGACCAGCTGTGCTTGTGGTTGAATCACGGGTGTGGTGACCCCAGAGCTCGAGGAATCTGAGTTGGTGCTTTCCATTCTCAGCTTAAGGATAAAGAGGATAAGAGGTAATAATGAGGAAGATGGGCCTCAGATCTAAAATGACAAACAAGATGACAAGGAAATGAAATAAAATAAAGGATCTTGCATTAAAAGGTATAGAGAAATGTTCGATCAACCTGCTCTGATACCATAATGACAAAGATCACATGCCATGATAATAAGCTTTCACAGATTCAAACAAGAAAAACCAAGATCCAAGGTAGCAGCTACAATGAGAATTATCTGTTGAGTATATGTTGAACCCTAGAATGTCCAATCAGTAACTATATATACATAATCTTAGAGAGACCTACACCTTAGGATCAAATATCTAAGGCTAGAAAATAAGCTAGAAAGAAGACAATAAAAACTGGTACAAAAGTGGACCACGTGGACATGCATACGTCCAAAATGTGTGCATGAGTCTTTGACTTGCTTTGACCGATATATATGCTATTACATACCCCTTCTTATATCAACATTTACAAACATCCTTTTATAAACCAGTCTCACTCATCTCTTTCAAATAAAACATCGTCATATACTTTTTTTTCTGGAAAACATGTTCCAGGACAACATTATCCCATATATGATTTTCTTTCGACAAAATTTTTATCTACTGAACATGCATGTTTTACTTCATCAATTTCTGAACATATTGAACCTAGAACCTATAAGAGGGTTGTTACTAACCCACTTTGGAAAGATGCAATGTCCAAAAAATTAAATGCATTTGAGAAAACCAACAATTGGATGGATATTCACAGTTTACCTAAAGGAAAACATTGTATAGATTGTAAATGCGCTTACAAAATTAAGTACAAATGAAATGGTGATATTGAAAGATATAAAGCTGGATTAGAAGCTAAGGTTACACTCAAGAAGAAGGTATTGATTACTTTGTTACTTTTTTTCCTGTTGCTAGAATTGCGACTGTTAGACTAGTCATTACTCTTGTATCTTTCAAACAATGTCACATTCATCAATTAGATGTAAATAATGCTTTCTTACATAGTGATCTTGATGAAGAAGTTTATATGATCCTGCCCTCAGGATATTGTGAACCAAATGACATTAGGGTTTGTAAATTGATTAAGAGTTTATATGGATTGAAACAAGTTTCTAGACAATGATTTAACAAATTGACTACCTGTCTAATACAATATGGTTTCACTCAATCTTCAGTCGATTGTTCTCTGTTTACAAAATCCATTGATTCATTATTTCTTGCTCTATTGGTTTAAGTTGATGATATTGTTGTAATTGAGTGTAATTGGGCCCCACCTTTAGTTTATTGGTACATTTGGTGCAACTTGAGTTGATATCACTAATAAT